TTAGGCCCTATGATGGTGTCACTTGAATAGATATGTGGACAGAGTTGGCATCGGGCTTTGTTACAAGGATAGGTTCCAGGGTCAGTGTTTTTGTTCAGTGATGTGTGGTTGCTGGTGACTGTTTGCTTTAGGTTGGGGGGTTGTCTGTAAGCAAGGACAGGTCTGTCTCCCAAGATCTGTGAGAGTAAAGGATCATCTTTCAGGATAGGTTGTAGATCTCTGATGATGCGCTGGAGAGGTTTTAGTTGGGGGCTGAAGGTGACAGCTAATGGTGTTCTGTTATTTTCTTTGTTGGCCCTGTCTTGTAGGAGGTGACTTCTGGGTACTCGTCTGGCTCTGTCAATCTGTTTTTTCACTTCAGCAGGTGGGTATTGTAGTTTTAAGAATGCTTGATAGAGATCTTGTAGGTGCTTGTCTCTATCTGAGGGATTGGAGCAAATGCGGTTATATCTTAGAGCTTGGCTGTAGACAATGGATCGTGTGGTGTGTCCTGGATGGAAGCTGGAGGCATGTAGGTAAGTGTAGCGGTCAGTAGGTTTCCGGTACAGGGTGGTATTTATGTGACCATCGCTTATTAACACAGTAGTGTCCAGGAAATGGACCGCTTGTGTGGATTGATCTAGGCTGAGGTTGATGGTGGGATGGAAATTATTGAAATCATGGTGGAATTCCTCAAGGGCTTCTTTTCCATGGGTCAAGATGATGAAGATGTCATCAATGTAGCGCAAGTAGAGTAGGGGCGTTAGGGGACGAGAGCTAAGGAAGCGTTGTTCTAAGTCAGCCATAAAAATGTTGGCATACTGTGGGGCCATGCGGGTACCCATAGCAGTGCCGCTGACAGTGGTTCACTAATAAAGTCACCAAACAAGTCTCGAAGGCCAGGTTCAGAAGCATACTTATTTTAAATCTTTGTTTGCTCAGTGTTATTTATAGGATACCTTCAGAATAAAGAAAGCAGTAGGACATCATGGGAAATATAGCACTAGCACATGCCTTTACAAACAAGATGAATGTCAGGTTATAATGTCCAACTTAGTTTATAAATATCTACATAATGGATATACCAGGGTATTAGTACTGCAATTAACATTAGCTAGTGGATATTTTTATCATCTCTTCTGATTACTAGATTGAGGTCAAGATGTTTACTATTGTTAGTGCTAGCCTAGGTGGATGCACTCAGACTATACATTCTGTTCTGTCTGCTAAGAGGTAGTTAAACATAAATTAGTTCTTTGATTTTACAGAAGCCATGAGCCACATTCTTTATAATCCTAAAACTACATATTATAGTCCAATTTAAAGAAAATTAGAATACAGAATCCTTTTATTGCAGATGTGTTTTTATCTTTGATGTACAGTTCTAGTTGCAAACAATCCACATTTTAGCAGCAAACAATTAAGATCCTTCTCTAACATTTCACAATACATTAATTTTCAAATCTGTATTTTTCTATTAAAGCAGCTTACATTAGATTATAAATCAACTGAACACTAAAGCAGTAATTCCAAACATGTTCAATCAAAATAAAATACCTATTCAGTATTAAAACAATTAGCATAGATGAAATTAAATCACAATACAAGTAAAAATGTAAACATGTTAAGCTAACATCTAAGATACAGTTGCAAAAATTAGCTCCACCTACATACAAAAACCACATAAAATAGTTAGGACATTCTGTACAGTACAAGAGATTACTACCGTATTAATCTTCTCATAGCCAATGTTTCAAGCATCACAGTAAAGAAACACTTTTACTAAATTTCTACAAAATGAAAGGTTGTGCCATCATTGACATCTAAATTGTAGTTCACAGTATATAGGGCTTGTGGACTATTTCCAGCACCCGTCCTCAAGGTCTCAACCACACAATTTTTAAAAATTGCATTAACATAAAATTGTACCAGGTTGTTCTTTAACTCTAGATTGGGATGAACTGATTAATTTTTAAGGCCTGGTCTACACCTTGCTATGTCACACAGAGCTATGAAAAATCTTAAGCCCTGAGCACCGTAATTAGGTTGACCTAATCCCCTGGTGTAGACATGGCTAGGTGGACGGATGAATTCTTCTGTTGACCTAGGGTACTGCCTCTCGGAGAGGTGGATTACCTACAATGATGGAAAACCCCCTTCTGTTGATGTAGGAAGTGTCTACGCTATCGTGCTGCAGCTGTGTCATAGCGTAGACATAGCCTAAGCATGAAGCTAAAGGTCCTGAAAAAAAATACTTAGTGCTGAGACAATACAAATATGATTAAGTGACAAATGAGATGCATAAAACTCACCCATTTCTCTTTTCATTGTGCTACATTCAAAATGTTTTGGCAATACATTAAAACACAAAGGTTCAAGTGTTTTCAAATGAGTTGTAATAGGCACCCTGATAGATGGCACCCCTGCTTGACTGCCCCAAAATACAGGATAATGAATTTCAATGACTGTGGATAAGCTGCATGCCTGGTGCTGTCTAGTAAACCTAGTCACAGAAATAAATGTGTGAATTTGTATTAGCTAAAAAATTTCCCCTTTTGTGGATCTTTATTTATTTCATGTTGCTTTACTGTTCAATTATGGATGCTAATCAAATAAGACTTGGGTTTTTTTAATGCTTTCTACACTGCTTACCTTTATTTCAAGTCATGAAATAAAAGCAAATATCATTACAATGTATTATGAGTCTCATAACTGACAAGATAAATGAACTGGCATAGTCTTCTGAGTACCAGGAAGTGCCAATTAAGAGAATTCCACTATATTCATTCAGGTATCAGACAACTTAAGTAATACCATCCCTCTGCTACATGCTTTACTCCTCAACAAACAACTTGGAAGATAGAGGTAAACAAGAAAGCAGATTACAATTTTTCCAACCCAGACTACTACTGTTATAAAAGCTTCAGCATGGATTTTGTACCATATATTCACATCTTGGGAAATAAACTGAAGAAAAATCTTAAAAAGTACCTTACCAAACTTCAGTAAAATGCTGAAATTAAAAATACAATATAATTGCATTTTTAAAGGACCATTGGAGCGTTTGAGGTGTTAAACAACATGTTAAAACCAAAAAGCAATAAAAGTAAACAAACATTCATGTTACAATTCTAACCAATCAAGACATTTAAGTGAAACTCAGAAAAAGCAAAGGGGAAGAAAGAGGAAGGTCAGATTTCTAGCAAGTGTATGTATGATAAAGAGAAATTTGCAGCTTTTTCGGTATTGGTAACCAAGTATGTAACCATCCATAATGTAGAACAGGGGTCAGCAACCTTTCAGAAGTGGTATGCCGAGTCTTCATTTATTCACTCTAATTTAAGGTTTCGCGTGCCAGTAATACCTTCTAAAAACGTTAAAATGTCTCTTTCTATAAGTCTATAATATATAACTAAACTATTGTTGTATGTAAAGTAAATAAGGTTTTTAAAATGTTTAAGAAGCTTCATTTAAAATTAAATTAAAATGCAGAGCCCCCTGGACCAGTGGCCAGGACCCGGGCAGTGAGAGTGCCACTGAAAATCAGTTCACGTGCCGCCTTTGGCACACGTGCCAGAGGTTGCCTACCCCTGATGTAGAAGAACAAATAAACATTTCCTCTCCATATCTAGATTTTTAACTATAGTAATGTTGCAAAAACTTTGTTTCAGGTGTATTACTGAAATGTTTGTTCTCTTTTATGGACAAAACTTAATAAGTAAGCCCCCCAAAACATTGTTTAAAGTTATTTTCCGTCCCCTCCCCTCTGTTCTCCTGCACCAAAAAGTTTTGTTTACACCTTTATTTCCTGGAAATAGCTTTATTTCTAAGGTCAAAGTGTGCCATCAAAATGAAGAAAAAAAAGCACCTGGAATGAAGATACTGGATTTGGGACATTGGGCAGACATGGCAGGACTTGACTCCTTAAAGAGACTATAAATTCCTCATATGGGGAAGAGGGAGAAACAACTTTGGGCATGCTTGGGGCACAGTCAAAGACCTGAAAACTTATGAGGAAAATGTGACTAAAGCCAACTGATGGTGAAATAAATACCTATGCATTTTTTTAAGAATCTCTCCATCTGTCTTCCTTTTTCCACCCCACTTCGATGATAAGCAGGTCATTCTGACCCACCATTGAGTCCTTGATAACAAGGAGAGTCTGCCTCTCTAAGAATGAGGAAAAATCTCTGTTTGGTAAAAATAGTCTGAATAGGAGTAATGAGATTGCATAGTTGTTATTACTGAAACCTGATGGGAGGATTCACAGATTGGAAAGTTAGGGCAGGTCTACACTACAGGGTGAAGTTGACTTAAGTTACGCAACTCCAGCTACATGAATAATGTAGCTGGAGTCGACGTAGCTTAGGTCGACTTATTGCGCTGTCTACACTAGACCCGCTAAATCGACCTCCGGTGGATCGATTGCCACAGCGTCAATCCACGGTAAGTGTAGACATACCCTTAGTTACTGGCTAAATCTATATTGGAAAGATGATGAGGGTTGGTGCTGTACACCAGACAACATTCCCTGTTTTAGAATTGACAACATGGAAGCAGAGGCTCTTGAATGTTTTCACTCATCAATGTTTTCACTCATAAAGCACAAGCTTAAATAATCATGAGGGAAGCTACAGGCCAAATCAGACTAGAAAACAGGATGTAAGCATTTACAACCTGAAGAGAAAAAAAATGACCTTACCATGGGGGATTACAGCCTGGAGGAATAAATCCTGGAGGACTCATCCTGCCAGTACTAAAGTGACCTTGGAGTTTACCAATTAGATGCTAATTTCTTTAAAAAAAATATTGGACCTTATTTTGACAGATAAAGATGAATGATCACTGAAATAAAAAGCAGTGTTTGCCTAAGTGCAAATGAACAAAATTGATTAAGAAGAAGAATGTCAAAAGTAATGTGAAAAAAATACTAAATAGTTTACGAACACTTTACTAGATGCGCAAATTGCTACAATTCCTCAGTCTCTCTCTCTCTCTCTCTCTCACACACACACACACACACACACACAGTTTACTTAATTAAAAAAACCTGATTAAAAGGGGGATGTGAAAGTAGCAATAAAAAAGTCAATATATAATAGAAAGGAAATAGAAGTTGATGGCTATAAATATAAGTTAAATTGCAGGCAATTGACAAGACAAGCTAAAAGTATGAATAAAAAAAATCTAGGACAATAGACTTAAGGGCAATGAAAATAATTTTTAAAAAAAATTCTGACAGTACGAGCCAGAAAAAATCTTGTAGATCTCGGACTGAGCTGGCAGAGTTGTTCAAAAACTTCTTAATTTATAAATTGAGCACATCTGATATGGAGACACTGAAACAAACCTTGGAATTACTTTTTAGAGCATGACCATGCTTTAAGGGTAGCACAGAAATTTCAGATACTGCATGTAGTGTGGAGAAGGACAAAGGTTTAAACATCTTGGAGATGTTCCCTTCTACAACACACACACACACACACACACACACACACAGTACCCTTTATACTTTGCTAGAGAAATTCTTTAGATCTTGACAGTGACAAGCAGGGCTGAGATTGCAATACAAAGTATGGGCTTAGAATTATATATATTAAAAATAGTTGTAATGTCCCAGTTCTTATCAAAGACTCAGGTCACTGATAAATGTCAAATACTAGTAAACTTTATATGTTGGTCACTTTTATAAACTAAATGTTACACCTGTGACTGCAACCATGATCTAGGGTCTAGTATTTTTTTGATGGATTTCTGTCTAGGAGCTGGCACTGGTTTGGTTTCAGATTCTGTCTCAGTAACTGAAGAGAGGGGATTTTCACTGTCAATTGAGCTGCTTTTCCTGCAAGGAACCAGTTTGCGAGGAGCAGCAATGGGCCTCTGCAACTGATGCATCATGGAAGATAACTTGGCATCAAAAGAAGAAGAGGTCCTACGTGCAATGGCAGGCTTCTTCCACAAGTTTTCCTTGTCCAACTGATCTGTGCTCATCTGAGTTTTTGAGCTGTATGGTAGCTTATCAGACGGTGGAAGCGGAGCTCTTCTTTTCTTTCCTTTGCCATCATTAGGACTTACTATCTCACTATTTGCATCTGGAAACACAATATTTTTCTGGACAAGCATCTGGTGAGAACCATCAAATAATGGGGCCCATACAGAAGGTACAGACTCCTTCTGCTGGCCAATCAGGAACTCTCCATCAGTCTCCTCAATTTTCCTTTGTATGATATCTGTTAAACCTTCATGTTTCACTGGAGAATCAATACCTACAATTTTAGAAGAAATTAGATGAACTCTGATTAAAATGGTTCCTAAATATTTTACTCACCCTGAGTGTGGTTATTAATTGATTGAATACAAAACTGTGCAAAGTATGTGCCCCAAATCTTAGACTAGCATTAAGACCTACAACAGTCTAGAAATGGAAAAGATTATCATGTTTACAGAAAAAGGTCTAGAAGCTTTTCACGGTTTCTAGGACTCATGCGCTTAGTAGGCTGTGGTCACAGTTTAATTTTTATTTATTTTTGTGGAAAAATAAAAAATGCAATGCATTACTAGAAATAGCTCTAGCTATAATAATGTTCTTGTACACTACTTGAAACATCTCATTTCAGCAAAGGTGTACAGAATCTAGGCACAAAGATCAATGCAAAAAAACCTAAATCTCACATATTTAAGTGTGCAAAAGTCAAAACTATTAAATATTCTTGTGCTACCCCCCTCCTTACTACCAAAGGACACTTTTACACTCAAGGTTTTTTCTTCAGTAAATTCTTGAAGATAGCTCAGTCCAATTCCTTCTCCCCCCGTAATGTAATTTACAGTGCATCAGCCAGAATATATGCATAGTTTGTTGATTTCCCTGTTTGTAGATCAGTATCACTTGTGCTACCTCTGTCTCTAAAACATCAATAAGAGCATAAAGATATCACAGTGTGACACTGCACCCCATATTCTTCATAGTGATATTATTATGATATGATTATGGCATAATTATGATGCATTTTGTACAAGACGGGGCATGTAAGGTGTCATTGGAAAAGTTATGATTTGCTGAATAGGATTATCCTATTTGTATACATGTATCATTTTTGTATCTGAAGTTATGAATATTGATTATGTATCTGTATGTCACATGTAGTCCCACCTGGGTGACACTCACTAGGCAAGATGCTTCCATATAAATACCTGGTTGTGAAGAGCCCATTCAGGGTAATGGGCAATTAGGAAGAACAATAGGCCTTAGGAGAAACTTATCTCTCACCCAGTGAGCCTTCCTCTGAACCTTTCGGCCAATATGTAAGTAATGGCTGCTATAACTCTGCAAGGGCATGTGACCAGCTCACAAGACTCTGGACTCCATTTTGGGGGTCTGTATTTTTCCCACAAACTGGGCTGGGAACTCTTTTTGAACCAAAGGGTTCCAGCCATATGCTAAAGCTATGTAAGTCAGGGAGCGACATCATCTGTTGTTCTTCACTCCTCCACAACTCAACATCTGAGAGAAGCTCCGAAAGAAAAGGACTTGGAATGGGGTCGGGGATCCCAAGCTGCAAAGCAAATGCAGCTTGTTCCTTAAGAATCTGCACGCCTGCTTATATCATCAGCCAGTCAGCCAGGGTGAGAATTTGCTAATTCATATCCTATCTTTCTAGTATCTTAGGCTTAGTTTGCAGTTTTGTTTATTTACTAGGTAATCTGCTTTGATCTGTTTGCTATCACTTATAATCACATAAAATCTATCTTTTTGTAGTTAATAAATGCGTTTCTATTTTAATCTAAACCAGTGTGCCTTTTGTGTGAAGTGTCTGGGGAAAAATCTCAGCTTGGTTACCACAAGTGTGCATATTCCTCTCCACATTGAGGGAGGGGCAGACATATTAATGAGTTTACACTGTACAGATCCCTGTGCAGTGCAAGACGATATAATTTTGGGTTTATACTCCCGGGGTGGGGGAGGGGAGCACGGTGTGTGCCTGGGGAGGTGGCTGGAGTCTGCTGTTTGTACTTGGATGGCTTAGGTAAAGCACTCTCAGGTAGCTCTGTTTGGGTATGTAGCACCACCTGCTGTTGTGTTGGGTGATAACAGGGCCTGGGTGAGGCTGGCTGTGTTCCCAACCCGGGAAGCAGTGTGGGCAGGGCCAGTACAACTGAACGGTCAGAGGGGTGCAAAGGTTTCTCACGGCTCCCAGACTGCACCCCAGGGTGACAACCTATCACACACAGATCCTACATAAATAACTTTAACAAATTCTTAGCATCTAGATTATGGATTTGTATTTATTTATGAATGCCATAATTGGTCAGGAAACACTTAAAATTCCTCAGTGATGTCTCTAAATATCTGCAGCACCATGCTACAAAACTTAATATATACCCTCATATGTCTTGTGTGATTTAGTGTTTTTCTGCTCTGCATTCATAGTTCAAATATGACTTTTTAGACTGTTAAATTAATGCACGGATGCATTATTACTCAATGACCCACATGTCAATTTGAGCATTTTTGCAATTCAGACAGGAGATCAAGCAGCAGGAAATCAGACATTTAAACTTATCCCTATAAAATGTTTTTCAGCCAATACCACATCAGATCCATTAAAATAGAGTGACCTACTTCTAGTCTATAAAAACTATTTATATAACATATTTTATTAAAATAATCCCTCTGCATTGTATTTCACTATGCAAAAATTGATGTCTGAACATTGGTACAGGTCAAATACATTTTAGAGAGATTTTTTACAAGTCTATTTTTCAAGGTTGTTGCCAGCAACCACACAATAAGTTCTAAGTAGATCTTACATAACTTGGAAAAAACAGGTAATTGAATGCAACTAGTTAAAGGCATGATTGGTCTGTAATCTGGACTATTTAAAACCATTACATTTTAATCCTCTGGATTTTGAACTATTTCTATGGTGAGTGTTTATTTCTAGCGACAGCTTTTTTGTCTAAATGTTTTCAGGGCTCCTTAATTACAGCTCATATTGAATTTTTTTGTTGTTCAAGGTATGAAAATGTGTTCAATATTTTTGTCCTCTTCTTAAGAAAAATATTTAATATGAACTCCTTGGTGTGCAATTATGGTGCTCCATTATATTATCTGAATTGCCTTTGAAAAATTCAGCATTTTAACACCAACAGCAGAAGCTATTTGAATAGAGACAACATTGTTTCTGTTACCCTGCAGCTTGAAAAGACAAATCCCACTTACTCATATCATGGTAGACTGAGGTTGCCTCTTTTGTCAAGAACAAAGGTGGTTTCCGTGGTGACATAATCTCAATTTTCATAAATTCTTCACAACAATGTTTCCACTGGCCTGAGAGGGAAGAGAACAATGATTAGAACTTAAACACTCCACCTTTTAAAGCGTTTGAAGTCATTAAGTTGCATTTGTGAACTACCTATAACAGGCAAATCTGGACAGTATCTATATTTAATGTTGCAACAGTCCTCACTAGATACTGTATTTTCAACTGAAATTTCATCCTAACCCTTAACACAAAGATTATAAACAGATATTAAGCTAAGAGCTCCAATTTAATCAACCCAGCAGTACTATCAGACAGCAAGGCTAAAACCCCATAATTCACACAAAAATCCTCAAAAACAAGCCTATAAGTGTTTACATGTCTTCAAATATCAGATAAAAGGTAAGAGTTTAAAGCAAGGAAGCTTCATGCAAGTTATTCATCTGAAAGTACAAGAATCCAGTATACAGAAAACCTACTGGTATACCATGGTTATACTTGGCAGTTTTGACTTTAATAATTTTCTTGGCTATCAGAGCACGAAAAGCCTCGTAGCAGTTAACCAAAGCCAAGGAAACCTCTGTTTCTATTAATAGATTTTGACCTTAAGGAAAATAGGCCCTGCCAGTAAAATTGCTTTTTACAAACTAATCTCTCACTCCCATTTCTTTTCTGACCACGTTAGTTTTAAGAGAATTTTAGAACCACCAAGGAACAACAGGCATTTGAATGCCAAGTGACCTAGTTTTTCCCATACTACAAGAAATTGTCTCAGAAAATCCACTGGTATTCTAATGTTATCTATAAGGTGGGGGAAAAGTAGTCCTTTCACCCCTCCCCATCTAACATAAGGAGGATATTCTAGTTTTTACATTGTGTTTTTTCTAATTGATAGAATATCTTATTGTAATCAAGACAGAGCTATAAGAGAAGAAATACAAACTACAGAACAATACCCAATTTCTAAAACCCCAGTTCTTCAATTTTATTGATGTGGTTCCCAATTCAATACTGATACTCTGTATCCACCTGGCTCAGTTTCCCCATGATTTGATGAAGAATATGATTTTCAGACTCCAGCTAATTTTTTTTTTTTACTTAGTCCATCAAATGGTATCTATTCTTTATATAATTAGGCATTTAACTTGCTACATTTAAAGGTGTAGTAGTGGGAAGACTATGGGCAGTTTTATACTAGAAGCACTACAGCATCGGTGCAGCTGTGCCACTGTAGCACGTCTGGTGAAGACGCTCTATGCTGATGGGAGAACGCTCTTCCATCGGCATAATTACTCCACCTCCACAAGAGGCGGAAGCTACATCAGCAGGAGATCGTCTCCCACCAACATAGCACCTGTGTGGAGCGCTTAGGTCGCTATAACTTGCGTCGCTCAGGGGAGGTGTCTTGACTTATGCGTAGACCTGCCTTAAGATTGGGGGGAGGGATAGCTCAGTGGTTTGAGCATTGGCCTGCTAAACCCAGGGTTGTGAGTTCAATCCTTGAGGGGGTCACTTAGGGATCTGGGGCAAAATCAGTACTTGGTCCTGCTAGTGAAGGCAGGGGGCTGGACTCGATGACCTTTCGGGGTCCCTTCCAGTTCTATGAGATAGGTATATCTCCATATATTACATTATTAACCAGTCCCTCTGCACTCTTCATCTTGTTAATATTTGGAGTTAAGTTTAAACAAGCAACACCATATACTACTTAAAGAGACTAAAAAGGCAAGTGAGATTTCACTGTCCTACACCTAGAGAGCATATATTTTATCTAGAGTAAGAACAGTGAAGTCACACAGTTTAGCCAATGTCAGTAAGTGAGCTTCCTCTAGAAATCTAAAAGTCAACACACTGAAACATTTCACCACTGGAAAAACAAGACTAGGGAACAAGGCACCAATTATCTCATTTGTCTCTTGAGCAGTAAAGCCCCATCTACTTTTTTATTAGCCCTAAGCAAACAGTCATGTGCCAGGTGGGGGCGGGAAATGCCAGGTATAAAACCTTATGGTCAGGAGGGGTACCAAAACGGAGGAGGTACCACTGGAGTCAAATCATCCCTGACTGCTTAGTTCTATAAGACTGACAACTCCTTCACCCAGAGTGCTATCTGAGCAAAAGCTGAATCATGGGTGCCATAATCCTACATAGTTGGGCCTAAGTCATTATGTACCTTTTCTCTCTGCAATAGTTAATCCAATTTTGATCCAAAACAAGTTTTCAATAAATTTCAAAGGCCAACCATCAGCTCAGCATCCTCAGGTTCCCTCTAATGCTTCATACCCAAACATTTCTATTTTTCTCAAATGATGTCAGGATTCTGTAAAATGAGTAACTATATTTTACTACTACAGATGAGGGAAGAATGGTAAGACTCCAGCAGGCCTTTGAAAGATAACCTAGTTAAACTGCTAAACAGACCAATCTCTTCTGAAACATACACACAGAAAACACAAGAAGTCTACGTCTATTTTGATTTCCTGAGAAAATTCAGACTGGATGTTTCTGGGCTTATTGGCATTTATAGGATGATTTAAAAATCATAGCGCCCTGAGGAGTTGACTATGGTTCAGTAAAATACCTCTATTTTTCAGTGGTAGAGAATACACTACCTACTGTGTTCATGGAGAACATTTTTGTTCTCATTACAGGTGACAGATTATTATGTAATTTCAGATTGTTCAACATTTCTTTTGATGTTACATAGCTACACCACTAAAAGGACATGCTGCCAAAACTGCATACTTACTAAGATCATAGAAATGCTGCCAGAAAGCTTCCATCCACTTATGAAGTTCTTCCCTGCTGTCAGCTGCAAAAAGTTGAGTCACAGCCTCTCCATCCACAGGGTTGATAACAGTAAAGTTATTAATTCTTTTCTCGGTGCCCTTATCCACAGCACGGATTCTGGTTTCCTATGAGTCACAATATTGAGACTCTGGTAATCAGTTATTGCTCCACCCAATCATAAATCTTCAGTTCATCACAGGCAGATACAAATTAGGGTATTTATCCAGTGTAGGTTTAGTTTGTTTGGTGGTGGGGTTTTTTTTTGTTTTTTTTTTTTTTGGGGCGGGGGCTGGAGGGAGGACTTATGAAAGGTAAACAGAATAACTGACAATACAAATTAATTTTTTACATAATTATTAAAAGAAAAGGTAACTGATATAAAAGATAAGACAATAAAGCTGAGTTGATGCAGTATATGTTAAGAGATACACCAAGGAAACATATTATAAGTTATTTGTTCCCTAAACAGTTCATCCTGCTGTGGCTCACCCTTCCTCAGTACAGTTCAGTTGATAACTTAATAGAGACAGTAAGTTATTGTGTTTCTCAATTATTATTCTGGTCATATTTCTATAGATGGTATTTAGTTTTCGGACAACAACAATGGAAGACGTTTCTTTTGGCTGCAGTTGTGCATTCTCAACTGGAACTATTTTAGTTTAGTTTCAGAAAATCAAGGCATTTGTCAAATACCATAGCTACAGGAATTTGGAAAAGGAAACTATCCAGTCCAAGTTGAAAGGGACATTTATAGAAAGTTACTCATACAGATCTAATGGAACAAATTTCTAATATTCAAAAATTCAAACTTCTGAGTACTATAAGTCTTACATTTTGCCCTCATGCCAAAAATTCATCTGCTCCTTTAAATGAAATATTTGAGTATGTTACAGTCGTATTTAGTGAGTTCTGGCTAGATCCAATTAAAATACTATTGTCCCATAGCATAAACTAAAACAAGGTTCTAGCCAACAGTATGGAAAGGACTTTGCTGTTTTAATAGTGTTCTTGAACTATGCTGCAGCACTACTCAGCCCAAGGTTTTGCACTGTTCAGGGACATGGTTAAAACAGTTTCAAAATCTAGACTGGACCTAATTGTATTTTAATCATATGTGGGTTCCCTGATATGATGTTACTACAGTGCAAAATAGCACTTGTTGCAATCTGATTAAAAATAGAGGTTAGGTCATCATAAGTATTTTTTCTAATGTAAGATACCAAAATATTTTAAGAGACTAAAAAACTTGTCAGGTGCAGAGTAAAATATTCTAACACACACTTTGACAATAATGCTGCTTTGCAGTACCCACACACATTCCATGAAATAAAATATAGCCATTAACCATACTTCATTTACAAGCAAAAATCTAGATTACACTGAAATGAGACATTGCTTTCTCCTTTAAACTTCTTTCACTTCAAACTGATTGAACTCCCCTCCCTGCAACCCATTTCAAACTAATGTTAAACACCAGTTACAGATTTCAAATGTAGAACTATAGAAATTAAGTTATATATTTTGTCCTATGGGAATAATCCTAGTGCTGATAGTGTGAAAAACAAAGATTGTTCTGTAGAACATTCCCCAGATTTTTAAATGCATTACTGAAGTAACCATTTGAAATACTAACACAGCTGTTTGCAGCATATCTGATGGATTTTGCTCATTTAAATTCTTCTGTCTAAAAATAGGAGATGAAGTAATTCATCCATAAGTGTTGAACATCCCATTAACTCAGGTAACCATAGATACTGGCAAAAAATTAAATAAAACAGATTAACATTTGACAGGTAAGAACTTCAAGCATACCCTATACAAGTTTATTATATGATGTTTGCTGCAAGGTTTATTCCACAAATATGTTGTTATTCTAAGGAGATAAATTCTCAAGCAACAATCTATACCTCACACTTGAGTATTTAAGTAGTGATACAAGATGCCATTAGAGTAACGAGCTGATCAGTTTACCTACCAGTGATGCATTACACTACATGCACATCTTCACCAAAAACAAATACAAAAATGTACTATACGGCACCATGTTATAATACAATAGCGTTCCTACCTTTCACAATGTTAAAATTATTGAACAAATTATGCTACAGCCCTTGTAAAGGCCAGGACCATCATGCTGGTTAAGTTCAGTGTTTCATGTGTAGGCAGTCCTGAGGAGTTGGTATTGCTCCTGTTGGGGACAGTTTTGTGCTCCAAGTATGCATGATGCATTCTTGAAGGGGTGGAGAAATGTAAGGAAGAGAAACGGAAATTCCATGACATTGTATGATAAAGCTTAGAACTTCCCTTTCTCACTGTCCCAAAACCAAAGTTCCTTTGCCCGGCAGTACCCCTCTCCCAGGAAATTTCCATATGTGAAGGGTTGTTATAAAAGGGAGGGCCTTCCATTAAAGGAGCAGTGCCACTCCTCTCCAAAGTCAATAGTGAAAAAACTGAAGGACAATGAAGGTTAGCTCAGAAGGTCCATTTCAAAACACAAGAACTAATTAAGTTTCTGAAGTCAAGACAAATGCTAAATAGTCTAGAAACTTTGTATACTCTAAGATTAAACACAATTTATCATTTATGACACGCAGTTCATTTTTATTCAAGTTTTAATCCAGAAAAAGATAAAGATAGCTTTAAAATCAAAAGAGTCTGTTTGTGCACTGTTTTTATCTGTCATGTCAAAAATAAACTACAATTTCCCCTAGTTTTGTTTCAGGTTGGCAGAGAATTATGATTAGACTTAGAACAATGCTCTCAAACTTGTTAATAGTGAAGATCACATTTTACAGATTAGCTCATGGATATCTCCCCTCCCTTTCATCATTCTGAACCACCTCCCTCCCATTTGTAATTACATAATATCCATGTGACAACTACAGCAAATGCCTATGCAGAATAGGAACTTTAGGAAAGCACATGATGTATTTTTAGCAATGTAGCAGCCAGAAACAAGGAGAAGGAATCAGCACCACACGACAAGCCAGCCCTCAGTGGAGTACCAATTGGCCCTGAAGCATAGTTGCAAAACCACACAATTTGAACATTTATGTTGCAAGATCCATCATGTGGGATCTGGATATGAGATCTGCTTCCCATGGTCAAATCCACAAATTCTTTCAAGCAACCGTAAAACTGAATTGATTGATACCACTTGGATTATCATAAAGATCAGAGATTTGGAAGGATTTTACTAATGTTTGCATTCCCACTGTATCTTCATGTGGTTTTTTTTGCTGCTTACCAAGGCTGTTAGCCAGGTAGCAAGACTGTAGATCTAACCACAGGGGAGATGGCCACAATCAGGACTGTGGAAGAGGAATCAGTCCCACAAAGGTGATTTAAGCTTCTTACTCCCAAGATCCCAAACTGTGGCGACGTCTGCCACAGGGATTTTATTGATCAGGTAAGAGATATTAGTCCACTTTAGGGGTCAAGAAGAGTCAAGAGGTTGTGTCCTTTTCAACACACACTATTTTTGTGACAACATATTGGTACCCCTCACACAATCAATTTGGGTAGGGAGTCTGGCTTGAATGATCTACCCTGCCATCAATAACCCTTTCTCTGATAACTGAAGAGAATGAACTTTGCCAGGAGGGTTTTGCACTCTTCTTCCACAAACCTTTCCCTCCTCTCCCCTCCCCCCCCAACTCTTGCTTTCTCAGTGAGGACTAGTTCAGAGTAAATGAAGGGGGAACAGACTGGAGGAATAAAAGATAGACAAAAAAGAAGGGTCCCCACCAGGACTAGCCATGATGCAGGAGACAGACTTAGGTGGTACAAAGAGATGGCCTTGGGCTAAAAGCATCACTAAGATACATGACAACCCCAGGTCATAGGAAATACCTTTAGGTAAGAGGAAAATAGGAAAGTGTTCAAGGCTGTGCCGATGGGCTGGAGGCACGTCACTAAAAATGTGAGGACAGGTGTGGGGAACCAGCAGGAGAGCAGTCATAGGATGCACTGGGGAAGAGGGTCCAGCAGGAGAAACAGGGTTAGTTGATGCCATCTGTCCGGCTTTTACATTTTAGAAGTCTCAGTTGAGCTGGGCCTGCAGAGCCTGAACAATCGGTAGTGCGGAAGGAAGCAGAGCTGGTGTGCATGAGATGAGGGAGTGAACTGGGCAAATCTGCTTTCATCGGGCCAGTGGTAGGGTCCCCTCATGTGCATGTTGAACTGAAAGGGGGGGGAAAGCCACAGAGAAGAAAGAATGGATCAGATTCCTAGTAAGACCTAGAAGAGAAAGGGCCTGCCAACTGGCTGGAAGGACAGAGATGCTGCTGTGAGGTTGCGGAGCTATTGTACTGGAAGGTGCTCCTATGCCTATAGCTCCCAGGAATTAGGCTCCAACAAAATTAATTTCCCAGAGATTTTCCTTTGTGACAACAGTCCTGGGTAGAACTCCCCAGCAGACCTGGTACTGGAAACAGTATGAAAATGTGGGCACCTTTGAGCATGAGCAACTCATGACGAGCATGTCCAAGTTAGCACAATTGAAAAGCCTGGCCCCAAGCATATGTTAATTATCATGTCAAGTCAAAAGGAGACACTATCATATTTTCAAGTTATATTTTTAAAGAGTAAATCCAAAGGTCCTTACTCAGATTTGACTCCGGCAACCTTCCTTGGTTACAAGGAAAGATTGCTTCTTGCTCTAGTTGCTTATGCAACATAAAGTGCTTCAGTGGTATTTATTTGGCAACATAATAGGTTCTATGACGCCTGTTTTGCAAGTGTTGAGACATTCCTGCTCAACAATGTTTGCACTGAAGTCATTTGAAGTTGAAGTGATGACTTTCAAGTTAAGGGCTACTTCAAGTTCGGATTCAGAGGGGGAAGGGAATAGTTCTCTTGATGTGAATATTTCTATGGCTAGTTTCTTGTAAGGCTATGTCAAGTTCATTCATTTTAAAGATAAACCATCTTTGAAAGAATAAGGGTAAGAGATCACATCCAGCACTAAGAATAAAAAATGCTATGTATCTTAGCAACTAGAGGAGATTTTAGCTTGAATGTCAACTTTAGAAGTTTTCCCTAAATCTTATTTTTTAAATTGCTATTTCCATACAACAGGGAGGGGAGGTAAAAATGAGTGTTGTTAGATTGATTTTTGCACATTTAAGGATCTGATATCCAGACATTTCTAGACAAAACTCAGTATACATCTATTGGCATTAAAAAAATATTTTCAGTAGACAGTTTAAGTAGAAAGGCACTCATATGTGTTTTGAACTGTGAATTTATTTGGTTTTAATTTAACTGAAGATAGATTCCTTTTCTTCATTCTCTCTAGCAGCTTATATACAGCAACCATAAGTGTCTGACATTTTCATAAAAAAGGCCATGGATTCATGTATCGCATACATATTATCTTCAACGAGAATCTGCATCAAACATGTGGACCAATTCCTGGCAAAACCATGAAAATGGATTTTAGGTTGTAAGTGTATTTATAACTTCAGGGAGAACAATCACCTTAATAGAATGCTGTAGTTTTAAATGACAAAAAATCTTTGACTTGCAAAAAATACAAAACTAGGCTATAGACTAAAATAGTGATCTACAAAGAAAAGCTATAAGGGTGGTCTGAAAGAGTCTAAAATATTTTTGCTGCTTTTTTAATGTTATAAATTCTATTAATATATTTTCCCCTGAATGGCATTATGAACAACTGGAGGGTGGTAGAGCTACGACATTAGAGAAGCCATGCAATTAAACCTGATTGAAAGAGTAAGTGACTTTTAGTCAGGTTGTTTAAATCTGTATCATGTTTTTTTTAAAAAACACCTATTTAACTCAAATACTCGAAACAGCTTTGTTAAAGATTCAACACTATTAGAAAGGGTGCCCTTTCTGTTAAGGCTTCACCTCAACAAGTTAAAATAAAATCTTACAGCTTGCCCTGGCTACAGTAATGTGCTGGTGCTGGTTAAAGTTAACATTTTTAAAATATGTTTTATGATAGATTGGACAAGGATTCAGAGTCAAGACCAACTTGCGTTGTAATACCACCTCCCAACACATTCAATTTGCTTACATAGACGTGCTCAGAATCTGCAACTAGGTCAACAGGAAAAAATGTTAACTCGCTCTATTCATCTCTATGAGGTGTTAACTGCAATCTTTCAGCACTTATGAATATTGTACCACAAACATCCTGTGAAAGCACAGATTCACTGTAGCAATCACTGGAAAGGCCTTCTGTGGAAATAACACGGCAAATATACTATACCTTTGATTACACCACTACCCCGATATAACGCGACCCTATACATCACGAATTTGGATATAACGTGGTAAAGCAGTGCTCCGGGGGAGCGGGGCTGCGCACTCTGGTGGATCAAAGGAAGTTCGATATAATGCGGTTTCACCTATAATGCGGTAAGATTTTTTGGCTCCTGAGGACAGCGTTATATCGAGATAGAGGTGTATTCGGATAGAGCTATTTGTTAATTTTAAATATGATATCTTTAAATGATGGTAGAAATGGTGCCATCTTTAAAGTACTGAAGTCCTTTTGCATAGTTTGTAAGTTAAGATAGGTTTTATATAAAATTTTGGATCATTATTAGCAAAAGGAGTTTATTTTAAAAAGCTAAAATATTTCTGATTAACGCTCATTATGATTAAGAGTAAGGCCAAGTAACATAATGAACAATTAAAATAAAATTGCAGAAATTCCACAGATTTGGGGTCAAAAGTCTAAGAGAACATTGCCTACATACCCTGCAGATTTGCATGACGCCTCATGTGTAACTTAAAAACTGTCATAATGTATCACTTTTTCTAAAGGAAAAAGGCTTTTTTTTCCTTCTTGAGGATTTGTGTTGGTTTGACCCATCAGCAGAAGGAGCCTATGTCCATTGCTAAGAACTTACATGCTACTCCTGGATCAGCTACAAGGGGTTGTTTAGGCCTGGTCTACACTACCAAGCTAGGTTGACGCAAGGCAGCGTACATCAACTTAACTCTGTAAGTGTCTACACTAAAATTTTGCTCCCACCAATGTAACTCACTCACTACGCTGACTTAAGTCCACCTCTGCAAGAGGCATAGCACTTAGGTCAATGGAGTGTCAGTGTAGACACTGAGTTACTTACATCTTTAGTGGCGTCCAGGAGCTATCCCACAATGCCCCAACATGACCACTCTGGTCACCATGTTGAACTCTGCTGCCCAGTGGCCAGGTACACGCCCCTCCCCTTTTAAAGCCCCACAAATTTTTGAAATTCCGTTTCCAGTTTGCTCAAGATGGAGAGCCCACCTAGCAACTGCCCAGTTCACCATGCCGGCTCCATGTTGCAGAGGCACTGCTGCATGGAGTACACAGGAGATGTTGGATCTCCTGGTTCTGTGGGGAGAAGAGGCTTTGCAGGCACAGCTCTGATCCAGCAGTAGAAACATCAATATGTATGAGCAGATCGCTCGAGGTGCAGGGGAGAAGGGCTATAGCAGGGATCTGCAGCTCTGCCACATGAAAGCCAAGGAGCTGTGGCAGGTGTACCAGAAGGCAAGGGAAGCTAACAGTCACTCTGGTGTGGAGCTCAACACATGCCACTTTTACAAAGAGCTGCATGCCAACCTCGGTGGAAACCCCACCACCATGATACTTTGAGGGAGCTGCAGTCACAGGCCCGAGAGTGAACAGTGGGGAGGTGGTGTTGCATGAGGGAGGAGGAGGAGGAGGAGCCAGAGTATGGGGGACAGGCGATCGGTGGATCTAGTGGCATGAGGCAGGACGTGTTTTTGACTCCAGAGCAGTAAAGCCAGTCCCTACAGTCCAGCATGGTGAGCCTGATGGAGGGGAAGTATGCAGTTTGTTTTGATATTGCAGGAACACATCTGTTCATTTACTTTTTTAATCATGCTAGAAGAGGTAGTGAAATAACCAATAGACGTAGATTCGCTTTCTGCTTCTCATTCCCCTGTGCAGTTAGGCAGAAGGGTCCCTGAAGAATAGTTTGTTTATGTGCACTGGGATAGAGATCTCGAGGAAACTTTCCTGGGGATAGTTTGCAATCCTCTTCTGAAGGTTTCTGGGGAGAGCTGCATTATTTCTTCCGCCGCAGTAAGACACTTTCCCACACCACTCAGTAATTACGTCACCAGGCACCATTGCAGCACACAGGCTAGCAGAATATGAACCCAGTCTGCAAGAGCTGTTCCAATTCAGTTTCTGTTACCCTCAGGAGTGAGAGATCGGCTAAAATGATCTCCACCTGTGGAAAACTGTGCCTGTATTCAGTTCAGTTGCCCTATCTGCATATATTCATGCCCGTGAGCTACCCCTCCCCCCCTTATTGTCCCAACTCACCCCCTCCCTCCCAAGCCCACCATGGCTGGGACTACTGCTGTGCTCTATGAATCCCAAGGAGAAATGAGAATGTAGTGCTTGTAACTTGCATGGATCAAGGGGAGTGAGTTCAGTATACCAAGTTTCCATTTATCTTGTGAATACACTCACAGTAGTACTTCTGTGCATTGTCTCTCTCCATCCACCCTAGTGGAGCAGCTCAGCCAGATAAGGCTAAGGAAGAAGCATGATGACATGTTCCAATGGCCTTTCAAATGGCCAAAGATACATTCAACTGTCATTCTGCACATGCTGAGCCTGTAGTTGAAGCGCTTCTTGCTGCTGTCGAGGTGTCTGGTGTACGGCTTCACAAACCATGAGAGTAAGGGGTAGGCTGGGTCTCCCAGAATCACTATTGGCATTTCAATATCCCCAATGGTAAACCTCTCGTCTGGAAAGAAAGTCCCTGCTTGCAGCATTCTGAACAGGCTTGTGTTCTTAAAGATGTGTACGTAATGCGCCTTCCCTGACCATTCCGTGTTGATGTTGGTAAAACATCCCTGGTAATCCACCAGTGATTGCAATACTATAGAAAAGTAGCCCTTTTTGTTGATGTACTTGGTGGCAAGGTGGTCTGGTGCCAAAATAGGGATATGCGTGCCATCTATTGTAGCCCACCGCAGTATGTACACCCCTTTGCTGCAAAACCATCCACTATGTCCTGCACATTGCCCAGAGTCACAGTACTTTGTAACAAGATGTGATTAATGGCCCTGCACACTTGCATCACAGCAACCCCTACAGTGGATTTCCCAACTCCAAATTGATTCCCGACTGATCAGTAGCAATCTGGCATTGCAAACTTCCACACAGCAATTGCCACTCACTTCTTCACTATCAATGCAGCTCCCATTTTGGTGTCGCTGTGCTGGAGAGCTGGGATGATCTCTGCACACAATTCCAAGAATGTGGCCGTGCACATCCGAAAGTTCTGCAGCCACTACTCATCATCCCATACCTGCATAAAGATGTGATCCCACCAGTCAGTGCTTGTTTCTCGGGACCAGAACTAGTGCTCCATGGTCTGCAACTACTCTGTGAATGCCAACAATAACCTTGAATTGTTTCTATGTCCCACAGCAAGCTAGCCTCTAAGAAATTGTCATGTTCCCCGCAGCTCCCCTGGAGGTTCTGCAAATACTTCAGGATCAGGCGTGTTGTGCTCGTAATGCTCGTCACAATGGTGCAGAGCTGTACAAGATCCATGCTTCTCACATAGATGTCGGACACGCAGGTTTGGGGGGCTTTTGAAAAGAGGTGTGAAACATTATGGGATGCTGATAGAATTATGGGATGGAGAAAACTCTATCATGGGGTGTTGAAACCATGTTCCCAGTTACCCCTGCACAACTCGTTTGTCCCCATAAGGCATTGAAACTCTTCGCAAAACACCCTGCGCTATATGGTGGCAAGCTGCACAGTGAGATAGCTACCCACAGTGCACTGTTCTCTGCATCGATGCAAGCACTACTAGTGAGGATGCACACTGCCGAACCGAGGAGCGTAGTGTGGACATGCAAAAGTGATTTAATTACTGCGACGGCTGTAAATTGACATAACTTAGGTTGACTTAAATTTGTAGTGCCCTTAATAGTGAAACAAGGCATACCCCTCACATATGCTTCTTGCAGAGTACTTTGCAGCTTGTCAGCTTGGGACCCAAATTAGACTATGTGAAAAACTGTTAAATTTACCTTGTTGATGGAAACTGTCAAAGCTGGCTCCACTTTAGCTTCAATTTCTTCGGGTGTATAATAACAAAAGAGTTTACCACCTCTTAGTACACAGTACAGCCTCCTCCAGTTAGTCAGGCTTCCTACCATTTGCTAAAAGGGAGAAATATTCAGTAAGTTGCTAGTCATACATTACCTTAACAACAACCTAATTTATGGATTACTCAAAGTTCTATTGAATTTCCATGGGTTACATCTAATTGAGTCCATCTTGTGAACTATTTAGACATCAGACTGTAAGATCAGAGCTGAGCACAACACATTGTCATAAAGGAATGGCTCCTGCAGAATATTTTATTGTGTGACTCAAGGACTTAATTATTAGTAACATTCAGCCAAGCCAGATGTTTGTTTAGCTGAACCTCCCTTTAGTGTTTTACAGTTTTGCCAATAATAGTGTCTCATGGTACTCTTGGAACATGGAATGTGCTGGTTGGCCGATAAGGAAAAAAGAGTAATTTTATTTCTAATGGAATCTACCATTAGAAGAAAACTTTAATGGCTACACTAACTTAGCTGGTTACAGGAAGGGAGCAAAGGAATGTCCTCTCATTTTAAAAATTATGACTTTAAAAATTAGACATGCAGCTATACATACCAATTTTCATACCAGCTAGACACTTACAATTAATTGGTCTTTATGCAGCAATCTAGGCTGTTTTACTAAGGGCTGGTCCACACTGGGGCGGGGGATCGATATAGGAAACGCAACTTCAGCTATGAGAATAGCGTAGCTGAAGTCGACGTTTCCTATATCGAACTAAATGTACTTACTTCGGGTCCATGCGGCGCAGGCAGGCTCCCCCGTCGACAGCGCTTCCTCCTCTCGGCGAGCAGGAGTTCCGCAGTCGACGGGGGAGCGCTTCTGGGATCGATCTATCACGTCCAGATGAGACGCGATAAATTGATCCCAGAAGATCGATCTCTACCCGCCGAATTAGGCGGGTAGTGTGGACCAGCCCTAATAATCCCACTGAGGAAACATTTGATTATCTTACTCTTAGCCACACAGTGATTGCCATTAAAAGATCAGTGTTTAATAGCAGCCACCACAAGATAACAGCTTCCCGCATACTTAGAGTAAGAGATACCAGTCCTCAAGATACCACCAGAGGAAACTACTCACTTTTTAATACCACTGAAAGTCAATTGTTAATATGAGCAACATTCCCTGTAAATTGCACGCATGCATGGCTGCACAGCTGTCTTGAATATACAATACATGTACACAAACTGAGCCACTCAGCTGCCCACAGCAAATGTGATGGCAGGTGGGCCAGCTACAGACCAGGTGACTGCTGGGCTGTGGCAAGGTAAGAGGCTGTGAGGTTTTGCTCCCCCCGGTGGCTGCAGCGTGTCACTAGCTCCTTCCTCAGCTCTGCAGGTGGGTGGTGAGTTCCTCCTACCTCCCCTCCCCCCAAGCCCGTAGAATTGGTCATCTTCCTCCAGGTCCCAGAGACCCCCCACTCCTCTGGGAGCATGGGGGGGGGGTAATCCTCTGTTATTCTTCCTGGGAACCCTGCCTCCTGGAACCTACTCCCATCATAATACTCCAGGAAGGACCAGTGCCCCAGGAATTTTATCTCTGACTCTTTCGGTCACATCCCTTCTGGGTATCCCCTCACCTTCCCCAACCCCAAGGAAACCCCCCCCCAACTTACCAAATTGACTCTCCCCTGATCTCCCCAAAATTCCCTGTCACAAATATTCCCAAGGCATTCCACTCCCTCCTTCTCCTGTCAAGAAACTCCAGGAAATAAGGGGGTGCAACCTCTCCAGCCCTGGTGGTGGGATTGATCCTGCCTCCAGGAGCCCTCTGACTCCATGGGGCTGAACAGGAAGGACTCGCCGTTTCCACCTGTGAGCTCACCCTTCCCACTCCTGCCCCAGCAGTTTCTGCAACCTCCAGTGTCCCCCACAGGTATTCAGGCTCCTGTTCTCTCCCTGTAGTCTGCATCATGAGATGCTAAACATTCCTGATTTCCAAGATGGGCAAGGACTGGTTCTTCCTGATCCTGCTGGAGCTGCTAATAGCACTGGTGAGTTGGGACAGTGTCAGCCAAATAAACAGGCATCAGGGTATGTGTGGCTGGGTATGCTGTCAGTCAGGGGAGCAGGACCCAGGGGGGCGGAGGGAGGTAGCTGCATTTGGAGTCAGCCAAAAAAAAAAAGAGTAACTTAAAACATGGCACTTATATAGTAGTAGCAACACAGTGATTCATTAGTTCAGTGTAAGCAAAAGTGTAAACTTCTCCAACGACAAAAATGTACTGCTCAGTGGAGTTTGCAGAAAATTTAGAGGGAACTTTGGAGATTAGAGGATATAAATCAAGTAAACTCTTTTTACCTGCTGATTAAGAAATCCTGACATCACATCCTTGGCCATGCAGAATGGCTGAGCAACTAAACGACAACACATGCTTCCATATAAGGGAAACCAGAACGACGACTCCTCTAAAAGAAAAATTATAAAGTTATGACCATTGACCATAAACTCACAGATTAGGGATCTGCATACATTTTAACTTAAGAACATATTAAAGAAGTAAATCTTTTCATATAAGCAAAGACTGAAGATAGGAGTTTGTCCTATTTCTTCACTTTATATCTCTCTTTTCTATGACTGACAGGTCTACAAAAAGCAGTAGATCGGAGAGGCACCATTCTTGACAGTAGTCATGCTGGTTTGTTCTTATGTTCAGAAGTATTTTATGGGTATCTTTAATTATCTTTTCAAACAATTTAGCCAATATTTAAGTTAGGCTCACTGCTCTAATTCTCAGGATCACCACTAGCACCTTCTTTGAAAATAAATACATTTGCTAGCCTCCACTCATTCAATATAGCAGCTAATTTTAACAAGAGATTGCATATTTTTTCTAGCAATTCAGGCACTTCATCCTTAAGTACTATCAGAACTCTTGGATGAATGCTGTCTGGTCCTGGTGACTAGTTGTGTTTAATGATTTGTTCCAGCACCTCTTCCTAACACCTTAATGGCTGACAGTGCATCACCTTTACTATCCAAGAGAAGTATCTCCCCAGTAGCCTCTGGGATGAAGAGTGATACAAAAATCATCTCCCTGTTTTCACTCCTTGGTAGCCACATGCAGCCAGACACAGACTCCCTCCTGATATACTGAAAAATTTTACAGGGTGTATATTTTGGCTATTTCATCATCAAATTCTCTTAATCTTTCTAATATTCACCTCACCTTTTATCTGACATGTGGATGGTCCTTTCTATAGGCTTCACCTGGGTTGGATTTCCATTTTTTGAAGAAGATGCATATGACTTGATTAATCTTTTGAACATTACAATTTAATTATAATAGTTTTTCTTACCTTTCTGGTTCATTTTTTGTTAAGAAGTACACATGCCTTTTATGACTATTATGGTATGTTTAAAATTTTTAGATCATTTAGACCTAGTTCATTTCCTCACTTTTAACTCACTTTTTTAAAAAAATGCAAATTCCTAAAATATGCTATAATAGGGCTAGCTATTGGTACAACCCCTCTTGGAAGAATGTGGAGCTTAATTAAATTGTGATCATTATTCTTTAGGGGCTCAGGTATAATTATTTCTTAAACGAACTCCTATGTTATTTTGGACTAAGTTTATAGTAATTTCTCATCTTGTGCTTTCCACAACAGGTTCCAAGAAGAAACCACTTAAGGTACCAAGAAACTGCTTTTCTATGCCTTTCTCATCATGTCATATGACCAATTTATGTATTGCTAGCTAGCCTCTCATTACTGTTGTACTGGATTTAGTTGCCTCTTCCTCAGTGCTGTGCACTTAACATCCTATTCCTGATTACAAGGGCAGAAGTATAATCATAGCTAACATTTGTATTCCTACAGTTTGTGATTTGTATTCCTATCAATTTCTACTGTATAGTCTTCTATAGTCAGAAATTTCATCTGATATTCTAAGGCATTTTTCAGGTATAATAGTATTCCCCTCATCTCTGCAACATAATTGGTCCTTTCTTATTTAGTTTAGACCCAGATATTCTAGTGTTCCATTGACTGGCCATTCAGCACCATTTCAGAAATGCTTATTATAGATCAAAGAAATCCCTATTATGTCAAGTTGCAGTTCTTGACTTACGGACCAAGGTAGGTTGTGATACTAAGTTATGGTCAACATAAAATGGAATCTAAGGAAAGAAGAGTCTAAAATATTGATCTTTGTTGGGCTGCAACTGTAGGGTGCAAGCGTGAAAAGACTCTCAGAGGACATGATATATATCTAGAGAAAAATTTGAATTATTAAATGTAATAAGCCTGGAAATACAAGATATCATCTTACCTCTTTTCAATAAAAAAGCTAAAAGAATGAAGTTTTCTTTGGGGGAAAGCTGTATACTTGTATCAGATAAAGATACCATGAGCTAAAACAAAATAAAGTAACAAGACCAGGGTTTTATATATTACCTGCTGCCATGTTTTCAGCAGCCCCAGGTTAGCACGCTAGATCTGAGGCTGCTAGTAGTTACTTGTGCTGTCTCAATGCTGGGATCTACCTAGGGGCAAGAACTCTTGCTGAAAAGAACTTTTAATTAGGACCCCCAGTACAATAAAGCACTTACGCATGTGCTTAACTGAGGTGTTAAATCAGTGTCTAAAAGACCTAATGGCGTTTGAGCCTCTACTCTGTTTACCGCCTCTCCTTCTGCCTATAGAGGAAGAAAAAGCTCTCTTTCCTATGACACTGTTCCTTTCTTGTGAGGAAAGGAGAGAATTTCTATACAGCTATAGGAATTGGAATGAAAATGGCAGAGAAAACTCTCAGCGGCTATGCGAGACCTTTGTGAGGGGAGAGGGAGATGCAGCTCCTGGAACCAGTTCCTGGATACTCTATTCCCAGCCACTGCAAGACTGTATACTGGGGGAGATGGTGCAGGAGTCATTGCAGTGAGGTAGTATTGTGGACGGAACAAATGCACTTGGGGCCGAGTGACTGGACAGTCAGTTAAGTGGATTTTGGGGTGGAGAGATATAGAGATACTGACGAGATTCTGGAGACCTGGGACAGCAAGGGAAATCAAACTAAAGCTAAAAATCAAACTAAAGTGAGATTGAAGGGAAGAAGAAAGAAAACAAACCATAGAGTGGGTTTAAAAAGGAAGGAACAATCAGGTTTAGAAGAGCTCAAAACAACACGTGGAAATAAGCAAAAAGAAAAATATAACAAGATAAAAAGTTAAATGGAGGGTAGGAAATAGGAAAAATATGAATTATAACAAGTTAATTTTGTAAAGAGTTAAATGTTAAAATATTGTAATGAAGTAGACATGAGTAGCGTGTATGTATACACACTGAAGGCCAGGGTGCAGAAGTAGGGGATGCCCGTCTCTGGTGCAGTTAATCTCCCTTCTCTGGATACTGTTTAACCATCTGCAATAGGAATTACTTCTCTTTTGAGTTCGAATATACTTCTGAAGCACATCACTTGTTTTGGAATAAGCATTTTATCCAGTAGCCAGACATTTTCCCATATACCCAGGCTTCCTCATACCCCTAACATGGAAATTACTTATATCTATTTAGGGGAAACACTCTTGCTACAGTCTGCCTGTATACACAGAGCATTTCTCCCTTGCATCCCTTTTTTTTTTTTTACAAGTCTTTTTTCAATTTAGTAAGTTACACGTAGATGTTTATTTTTAAACAGTTGAAAATATTTTATTTAAAGTTGCCACATATTAAGTACCAATAAAAATAATCTAAATCTTATAAGCCTTTTAGTTTACTAAAAATGGAGATACATGATTTTACTAGCTTTTTTTTTAAAAAAAACACACTTCCTTAAATCGGGACCCTATGTACTTACCATTTCCTGTAATGGTAAGGTTGTGGGTCCTGAAATTGTCCTCAGCACTCTCCAACCCCAAAGTGGTATGTGCCAGCAAACTGTATTTTGCACCACTGATTGTGAAAAACAAGGCAAGGTTTAAATATTTCTACATGACTTTTCTCAGGCAGTTATTAAAAGGAGTCTAGACAGTCCTAGAGATAACCATCCCACCGTATCTAAATATGTTAACTGCCAGGCAGCACTTGTTAATAACCACAAAGTTTAGCTAATCACCAAGAGTCTGCGTATGCCTGTTTTAACTCTTTGTGGTATTGTCCCCACAAAATAGTTTGTGTACCTTTTTGAGAATATTTCTGTTTATCATGTATTCACATTGCTTGGAAATAGCCACTCTGAATCACTGATTGAAGGATTTTAATTGTATCACCTGTTGCCATTAAAGGATTATTTTGTGGGAGAGGCAGGGGTTTTGTGACTGACATGTTCTGTTCTCCATTTACACTAAAACTAACTTGGGTATTCTCTTTTATTTTTATTTCACATTTATTCCTTGGAACAAACATCTTGTTTGAAAAACTATTTTGTTGACTTTTGTGACCCATATGCCATTATGTTTCATAATATATTTAGTGCTTAGCCTGGTCGGTTTTCTTATGTTATTCTAAGGGCATATCTCTTTTAAAAAAAAAAAAGTTTTATAGAGCTCTGTGTTCTATGCTTTGGTTTGCCTTTATAGCGGGGACCAAATCACATGTTCTAGCAGGACTGTAATATGGTTTTGTAATATTGGTATAACAGTTTGATTCTTTCTATACAGAAAGACCAGGCTATGTGGTAATGAAAGCATTGACAGAAAGTTTTATAGTGTAGATGGATCATTTGACAAATTGCACTTACAAACCTCAGAACATTAAGTTTTTGTTCTGGCTTTTATCTAATGGAGGGAAAAAATCATAATTAGAATTCAGCATAGTGCATGTGGAATGCTGCTCTTGAAATGACCTAGTACAAACTTTGTTCATGTTTAATCTTTTTTCAAATACACTTCAGACAGATTAACAGATTTATAGCCCAGCAATGTAATACTTATTCCCCTTGGCTAATGAGTTTAAACTAAGTGAAGTTCACAAGAAAACTGCTCAATACCACTCACTATTCACACTAATAGCTTTAGCATCATACCCTTAAAATATCTTCAGTACAAAGTAAGACTATTGGGTAATAGGGGAAAAGGACAGAAAGCAAAATTAGATTAAAAGATACTTAAAGTTTTGCTCTCCCATCACCTTCTACTCTTACTAAAGTATATTAATATGTTTTTAATAATGTTTTTCCTAATGGCATTGCGGAAACAGGCTCCAAAGAGGAAGCATGAGCTGCCCTGCCCTATCCCTACCTGTAGGAGAGGAAGCCAAAAAAGGAAACATAGCTGGCAAGGAGGTAGTGCCTCCATTCTAATACTCAACTACCTCATGGCAGTGTTGAGAGGCTTATGATACTGGCATTGTGTGTGTCAAGTATTATTGTTGTATAACCTATTAAGAGTTGGGGTGGGAGGGGGGGAATCCTTACATGCCTGAACACAAAAGTGTCAGCATACATGTATGCACTGTGATAAACTGTCCCCAAGCAAAAGATTCTCCATAACTAGGTACCAAATATAATGTATAAATCAATCATCTGTGACTGTGCTATTTAAACTGTATACAGTTTAGTTTCTTCTCATAAATTTTTGTACTGATTTTCAAGTTACATCAAGCATGACTAATCATAGCAGTAACTTTGCCAAAGAAAACAACGACTTCATTTTAAAAATATGTTTTACAGTAATGTTTTCTAAAATTTAACAGTCATTCCTTTCAGCCAACTTCAATATCATTTCCAAAAGGTTTAATTTAAAAAATAATGGGCTGATAATGGGCTAATCAGCATTGCTGACAGTGTTTTGTCTATACATTTGAGATAATTAGCTGACTGTCTTATATTTCAGTTTCTTTGTGGTCACATCTAACCATTCTTGGTCAAATGTCACTTATGGAATAGTATTCTGCTGTTCTATAGCAACCTTCCATCTAACAACCTCAAAGTGCTTTATCAAGTCATATTCACAACATTTGTGAGGTAGAGGAACATACCTATATACTGATAAGGGAATAGAGACACAGAGGTTAGTATCCAGATGCTCTGACTCTTAGTCCTGTTCCTTAACCACATGGCCACCTTTCCTATCAATGGACATTTGTTCATTTCGGATGCCACCCACCCATTTCTGAAGATTAAAACCTATATTAGAAACCCACATATTAGTTCGCTGATCTGAGTCTGGGTAAAGTATTAGGGAGTCAAAACTAATCCAAGGAAGTCTAACGTGCCAGATGTTTATCCTGAAGACCAACCCATAGGGTGATTCCTTCAACCCAACCCAAAATGAGAGAAGATGAAGACATACCAGACTTTAAAATAGTAAAAAACCAAACAGTTAACTGCAAAAATGCCACAAGCAAGTAAGATTATCCTTTCAGGAGCAGAATAACTGGATTACAAAACAGGAGGATCCTCCGATTCAAAAATAGGACACTGTAGCTAGGCTTCCTCCCAAGCACAAGAAGACAAGTGGAAGCTGATACCAAGTGGGCAGGAACCGTATGCCAGTCCATACATAAAAAGAAATATGTCCACAAAGCCCTTGGTGAACATGGAAACCTGAACGACTTCTCCAAAGTGAGGCTTTATTTGCTCTGGAATTCAATAGAGGCCACATTGAGGAAGAAATTGGGGTGAAAAACCAAAAATGGCTAGAATGAAAAAGATACTGAAGCAGCCAAAATTGAAATTAACAAATCCAAGCATGCTATTAAAACATTTAGTCATTAGGCATCTTAGGCCTGGTCTACACTACGACTTTAATTCGGATTTAGCAGCGTTAATTCGAATTAACCCTTCACCCGTCCACACAACGGAGCCATTTAGTTCGAAATAAAGGGCGCTTAAAATCGATTTCTGTACTCCACCCTGACGAGCGGAGTAGCGCCAAAATCGATTTTGTCAATTCGAATTAGGGTTAGTGTGGCCGCAATTCGATGGTATTGGCCTCCGAGAGCTGTCCCAGAGTGCACCATTGTGACCGCTCTGGACAGCAATCTGAACTCGCATGCACTGACCAGGTAGACAGGAAAAGCCGCAGGAAAATTTGAATTTCATTTCCTGTTTGCCCAGCGTGGAGAGCACAGGTGACCACAGATACCTCAGCTCATCAGCACAGGTAACCATGCAAGCTGATAATCGAAAAAGAGCACCAGCATGGACCGCACGGGAGGTACAGGATCTGATCGCTATATGGGGAGAGGATTCAGTGCTAGCAGAACTTCGTTCGAAAAAACGAAATGCCAAAACTTTTGAAAAAATCTCCAAGGGCATGATGGAGAGAGGCCACACTAGGGACTCAGATCAGTGCCGCGTGAAAGTCAAGGAGCTCAGACAAGCCTATCAAAAAACAAAGGAGGCAAACGGTCGCTCCGGGTCAGAGCCGTGGACATGCCGCTTCTACACCGAGCTGCATGCAATTCTAGGGGGGGCCGCCACCACTACCCCACCTGTGATCGTGGAATCCGGGTAGGGGATAGTCTCTACACCTGAGGATTCTGCGGATGGGGAAGAGGAGGAGGAGGAGGAGGATGAGCTTGCAGAGAGCACCCAGCACTCCGTTCTCCCCAACAGCCAGGATCTTTTTCTCAGCCTGAGTGAAGTACCCTCCCAAGCCTCCCAAGCCAGTAGCCAAGACCATGACCCCATGGAAGGGACCTCAGGTGAGTTTACCTTTTAAAATATAAAACATGGTTTAAAAGCAAGCGCTTTTTAATGATTAATTTGCCCTGAGGACTTGGGATGCATTCGTGGCCAGTACAGCTACTGGAAAAGTCTGTTAACGTGTCTGGGGATGGAGCGGAAATCCTCCAGGGACATCTCCATGAAGCTCTCCTGGAGATACTCCAAAAGCCTTGCCACAAGGTTTCTGGGCAGTGCCGCTTTATTCCGTCCTCCATGGTAGGACACTTGACCACGCCATGCTTGCAGCAAGTAATCTGGTATCATTGCCTGACAAAGCCTGGCAGCGTATGGTCCCGGTGTTTGCTGGCATTCAAGCAACATCCGTTCTTTATCTTGCTGTGTAATCCTCAGGAGAGTGATATCGCTCATGGTAACCTGGTTGAAATACGGGAACTTAATTAAGGGGACAGAGGTGGCCGTTCCTACTGGGCTGTTTGCCAGTGACTGATAAGAAATCCTTCCCTGCAGTTAGCCAAGCGCGGGGGTGGGGGGGGAATTGGCCCAGAGCTTTTCGCGTTTGGCTAGCAGGGATCTTCCCTGATACCAGCCACGCGGTGGGGGGAGGGGTAAAGCGATCATCCCAGGGAATTCATGGCGGGAGGGGGGGGCGGGGGGGTTAGTTTGGTTTCTGCAGGGATCTTCCCTGTTACCAGCCACGCGGTCGGGGGAGGGGTACATTGATCATCCCAGGGAATTCATAGCGGGAGGGAGGGAGCAGGGGGGTTAGTTTGGTTTCTGCAGGGATCTTCCCTGATACCTGCCACGCAGTGGGGGGAGGGATACAGCGATCATCCCAGAGAATTGGATGATGGGGGGGTTAGTTTGTTTTCTGCTGCTGAAGGTTAAACAGGAAAACCGCAGCAGTCAACAGGCTTTGCTTGGTATGTGGGAAAGGAGGGCGCAGAAGCCGAAAGACAATGGCTTACCATGGCTGCCTGCAAGCTGAATTCTGTTGCCCGGACCTGCGTCTGTGATCTCTAACACCAAAGCCACAGGCACTCAATATTAAGATGGAAAATGCGACCTTGTACTGAAATCACATGTGCTATGTAATGTGAATAGTGTTTTTCACCATGAAAGAGTATAAGTATTGTTCTGTAAAATGTATCAATTTAAAAAATTCACTCCTTTCTTTCAACCCTCCCTACAGCAGCTGCAAATTTTTCAAGCCTCCCTCCTCCGTCCCGAAGGCTCTCTCAGATAAGGCGTCGTAGAAAGAGGACATGACACGACATGTTCACAGAAATAATGGAATCCACACGCAATGAAAGAGCTCATTTGA